TAATGCAACACTTATTGAATTAATATCCAGTCATCTTTACTAGCTAATAGTAAAACAAATGAACAGTATGAGAAGCAGAGGGCACTGACGTTATGACTATGTACTGACAGCTCCTCAACACCTCCAGGTGGTCCCTATTTATCCCGTCCACCAAACGTTACCAAAATAAGACACTTATATTTGAAGCAGAATTGCCAGTAATTGCTATTATATACTACTTCTACTTCTGCTAATAATAATAATAATAATAATAATAATAATAATAATAATAATAATAATAATAATAATAATAATAATAATAATAATAATAATAATAATAATAATAATAATAATAATAATAATAATAATAATAATAATAATAATAATAATAATAATAATAATAATAATAACGCCGGAGAAAAAAATATGTTCAGTAACAGTTAGAGAAAATTTTAAAGTGTGTGAAAACTTCTCTCGCAATGGCTCAGGATTTCTCTCTCAGACGTGACAATATTTTTTCCGTCGATCAGAATAACTAATTGTGTTAGAAAAGTAAACCCCTTGAGTATTAATCCCAAAATCTTGAGTACCATGAGTTATCCCACTGAGTACGATGACTTAATCCCTTGAATACACGATAGTCACGATATCTTACGCAATGGATTCGATAACCAACTACCTTGAGTGTAGGTTTATTTTGCCTTTTCTAGTTATTACATACAATGTCTTGTTTCACTCCATGATATTTAACAGCTATACCATCATGAAATTTTGAAAAGTAAAGCATCCGTAGCGTTGCAGTAAGTATGTATATACTTATATAAGGCAAAACAATATAAACTGGTTCCTAAATTTGCATTGTTAACATGATTCAGGAATTAATCTGACTATAAATGTTATGTGATCATCAGTTTAAGACAAATATATGACTTAAGAGCTTCATGACGACGGCAGTGCATTAGACACCCTCAGACCCAAGACCCGGACCTCCCTCTTGGCAAGGCTTCAGGCAGAACTCATTTAGTTCCTTGTAACTCTACACATGTGATCACCATCAGCTTAGTCTTCTCCAACCAGGGATTTTGTTTACGTTACCTTCTGGGAATCGAATTACAGACCCATGATACTGTAGTAGGTGTTCCCGGATCTAGAAAACTGACAACGGTTTTGCAAAGTAATATCCGGTAAAACTCTTATACTCTCCCTGACTCTCTCAGTACTGTATACGCACTTATCATTGCAGGAGCTCAATTGTAGCATGAGATCACACTCTTTGACTAAATAAAACCACAACATCCTGTCATCTGCTGACCTTTGTCCTAGAACTTATATTACTGTCAGCCACAATAACAATGGTGTTGATATTATGTTTTAGAGTGTATGACAAATATTCACAACACATTCTTTTTTTTGTTCCTGTTTACTTCAATAATCTCCTGTCAAGGTATCGTCAAACTGATATGTTTTTGTACTTTTCATAATATAATTTGAATAATGATGTTTGGATTGAATTTGATGGTACATTAATAGAATTTAAGGTATTTAATAAATTGTATATTGATTTCAAGCCAGTAGCTCACACGTGAACCCAATTTTACATTCTAACAGGAGAATGAGTCAACAGCAAGCAGTCTCAAGTCCGTGTCACCGATCTTGTAGTATTCCACAATTTGCCAAAGAAGCCCTGGAGGCTGGCGATTGACTGACCCAGATCAGACAGGAAGCTACATCAACTACCTTCATGATTTCATTGACCTTAGTAATACTAATGATATATTTCCGGATTAAAATAACTCTATCAAAGCAGCATAAATGCCCATGGCAGTTGACGCACCTAAAACAAAAAATCCAACTTCCAATGTTTACGTTTCAGCTCATTCATCATCCCTTAATATTGAAGACATACTGCTCAAAGCATAACATAATTCTTGTACTCAAGGCACAAATTACAGGTATAAACAACTTCAGCAGTGCCAAAGCATATTACTGACTTGTTCATCGTTATGTAATACTGTAATACTTGATATATTTTACTGTAATTCCAGTATATACAGTATATGACATTAAAGTGTATGACTCCACTTTTATGACAATCACAAAGTATATGAGAGCAATACCCTGTCTCCTACTGACCATTTTATTGGCACAAGTTTGCTACAAAGTCACATATAAGAATGATATCTACGTTATTGACAGAAATAAAATGTGCAGATTCAAGTAAACACCGTCGATTCCAGTCCTGCTTTGGAAAGATCTGGATAATGATTGAAGGTAACCCGTCGTAAACGATAGCTTAAAGACTGCGTAATTTCAAAGCGCTACAGAATTCAGAATCCTCCAATAAGTTGCTCCTCCATGTGTCGTGCACTCACAAAACTACACCGAACAACTTCCGAGTAAATCTGCATGTTGACTAGACGGCCATAATGATGAAGTTTTAACCTGTTTTTAATAGATCAACACATGATACAACAAAACGAAAACTACAAGGTAATTATAGTACAAGAAGGAAACTAGGATTTAGAATATTAAAGCAAAACATTGAGAAATTATAGCATTTGTACACAATTTCCGTTGATAAATGCAAATGATGTAAATGAAGAATTGTGATTAAGATTTAAAACCGTAAGAAATATAATATTTCCCGTCCATGGTTATCAGATTCAACGATAATGACAGCTCAATTTTTAGTTCCAAGTAGGAATTAATCTCGGAATTATCGAGAAAATATTACGTTACATTTTCAAACCTTTTGCATATTGTTCCTGAATAACAGAAGGACAATACAAGTTTATCTCTCGTGTCAGGATTATACGCCATAGGCAGTTTGTACCCTGGAGTAGACAATTAGCTTCGGCCAGTGAATACCCAGGGTATAAGATGGTACAGGCGAGACACTACTCCAGGGTTTATTCTGGCCTATACCTTAACCTATATTGCATGGAATATTTGAGCTGCCTAAACAAGACTATATTCGGGTATAATCTTATTTCTGCGTAAAGAGAGTCTTAAGCACGTCCCCACAAACACTGCTTTTACGTCGCCACAAATGTTGATTTATACGATGACTGAACTAGCTGCAGGGCCTCGAGCTGTGTTTCTTACGAGTTTAAAATGGTTGTTCCCGTTACCTTGATGACCATACACTAAAGAAAGTCTCTGTGGTATATAGAGAGAATGGAAAAACTCTGCTTTTGGAAGGTTAACAAATGTGGTGGTTCAGTAACTATCACGGTCACGCATGAAAGAGACCTGAACTTAGAAGGAAGGAAGAGGTTGGTTGGTGTGCGTGTGTGTGAGTGGTTGGTGCTGAGGGAGGTGGTGGATATGACCAACGATTATGTCCGTCACGTTGCTCCCGCTCGGCTCTCCCCTCACGGTACTTCGCCAAAATTCGATAAAATGTTTGAATCCGTCGGTTATGTTTACCAGTGTTTTTATTTTGTTTTTTTGCCAGTTACCCATTTTTTTTTATTTTACTGGATTATTTCTTCCATTTCTCATCACTCTTGTTTCCTATTCTAATTATTCAATGGCAATGTTGAAAGTTGTGATAATGTCCACAATACACCTTTTCACATATCCGTTGAGACATTGATACATAACTATTTGACAAATTTCATATCCGAATGACAAAACACATATCGAATGACAATCTAAAATAACTGTTGGTGGTATGTCATTCTCCAATTGTTACATTCTCAAACTATATGTAGACTGTCGGTATATTGTTCACGTCTGTCAACTTCATAACTTATGTCAATCACTTCCGTTAGCATGAACGAACAGTTATTTTAGATTGTCATTCGATATGTGTTCTGTCATTCGGTTATGAAATTTGTCAAATAGTTATGTAACAATGTCTCAACGGATATGTGAAAAGGTGTATTTGCGTAGTCGTTCTCTTAATGACCAACCATCCGTTACGTTTCTTACATCATGCTGAAAGATTTAAGTCCATCGTTCATTCAGGTTATTGCTGACGTGACAGGTTGGCATTATAAAACTAGACAAATACTAACATTCCCTAAAAGAGTAGGCAAGTAATTTATTAATAGTGTCAGAGAAAAAGTAATGGTACCCCGAACCTGCAATAAACCTTCTTTAGTCAACGTAGAGGGTTTAGCAGTCACGACTATATGGATCTGGGCCAGCACGAGGCTCACAAACTGAGTATTTTCTGAAAGTGTGTGTGATAGTTGTTCATTCCTTCATCACAGGTGACTTTCAATAGTACCACCCCATATAAAATAAACAAAGGGCATGGGCGTTACGTAGGTCATATATCATCCTCTGGGCGACAAAAGCGACGTCCGGTAATTGCAGGAGTCTGTGAATGTTACCTCGACTCCACAACATATGGTTCTTCACGCTACCTACTAGCCCACCTTCTGCACAGTCCCGAGACACTGTCACCTACTTACTACAACTCAGTTCATATTGCCTTGACAACACAATACGTAAGAGCTGAATGGTTATGAATCAACTAATAACCGTCATGACGATTACAGTTTTAATGTGTAATCTACGAAACGTAAAGAATTCAAACCAATCAGTAAAGAGCATAGACACAAACACTGCCTGAGTCACTTTAATGTTTTCCAAACCACAAATCTCATAGTACCTCAAAATCGTAATGATTGTGTTCCGCGTAATGACGTCACGGCTTAGAGATACCCTATTGGATAACATCCGTGAATGGCTATGACGTCCTTTCAGTTCGTGCACGTGATTGGACAATATGTTGCATGGTCACCTTACCAACAAATACCATTTGGAAAACTTTTGTGCGACAACGTTCGACATAATTTATTAGGTATTCTTCAACAAGTTTTTATCTTACGTTAGTGTGAGAATGTGATATAAAAATGTGTGTGAAGCTGCTGAAGAAACTAGCACAAACGGAAGCTACGCAAAACGTAGCGAGCGAGGCGTCGTGACCTTCAGCAAGGGTCTGCTGGCGTTAAGGAGTATGTTCACGTTACCGCCCCTACCTGGCTACACCAACAACTCGAGGCTCA